GGAGACAGGAGGGCAGGGAGGGGGTAGGCGGGGGGGGGGGCAGAGCTGCGCCAGGGCAGAAGGGGCAGCGGAGGACGATGTGGATGGTGCAGTCGGTGAGGAGGTGGTAGCCGATAGTGGTGGCATGGGGGTTGCTTGGAAAGGAATAAGAGTAACAGGAGGAGCAAGAGGTGGAAGTAGGAGAGGGGACAGAAGAAGTGGAATTATGGGCACTAGCAAGAGGGAAAGTGGACTCATCAAATTGGACATGACGAGAGATAAAAAGTTTATTGGATGAGAGATCAAGACATTTGTAGGCACTTTGATTGGAGGAGTAACCAAGAAAAAGACACGCGCGGGAACGAGGAAGTAACTTGTTGGAGTTGTAAGGCCGTAGCCATGGAAAACACAGACATCCAAAGGTACGAAGACGTGAGTAATTGGGTTGTTGATGAAAGAGTTGTTGATATGGTGAGACATTTTTTAGGATGGGAGTGGGCATTCGATTTATGAGGTAGACAGCAGTTTGAAACGCATATGACCAATAGGAAAGAGGTAATGAGGCTTGATGAAGAAGGGTGAGACCGGTTTCGACAACATGACGATGCCGTCGTTCGGCAACACCATTGTGTTGTGGAGTATGTGGTGGTGTGATGAGATGAGAGATGCCAGCGGAAGAGAGAAAGTTTTTGAGTTTGACAAATTCCCCTCCACCATCAGTAAATAAGGTGATGATTTTAGTTTTGAAATAATTTTCAACAAGGGCTTTAAAGGTGGTGAAGGTGGAAAACACATCTGATTTCTTTTTGAGAGGGTATAGCCATATGTACTTGGTAAAATGATCAACAAAAATAAGATAGTAGGAAAAGCCATCAATGGAAGAATAAGGGGCAGGGCCCCAAACATCACTATAAAGGAGCTCTAACGGACCATTGCTTTGAAGGGAAGAAGTACCAAATGGGAGCCTATGGCTTTTATTACATTGACATGAATGACAAAGAGACTCGAACAATTTGGAGGACACATGAATGGAAGAGGAACGAAGAACTTGGTGAAGAGTTTTAGAATGTGGATGACCAAGACGCCGGTGCCACAAATTTGGAGAGACCACCACACCCACCATGGCCTGAGGTTGACGGAGGGATTGGGAGGACCACTCATACACATCGTCCTTATTCGGGCCTTGAAGAAGTACCGCCCTCGTGCTCAGATCCTTGACATGAAAGAAATCAGGAAAAAGTTCAATAGACGTATTATTTTGTTTGTTAAATTTGGAAATAGAAATAATATCTTGCTTAATGGAAGGAACACAAAGAACATTAGATAAGGCAAAGGTTTTGGAGGAGGGGGTAGTGAGAGAGGATGAACCGACATGAGTTATACCCAAACCTGAACCATTACCAATAATTATTTCATCAGGGCCAGCATATGTGGAGACATCGGAGAGATTGGTGACTTTGGAGGTAACATGGTGAGAAGCACCGGAATCAAGCAACCATGTGGGAGAGGCATTGTGGCGGCCA